TTTTTTTTTTTTTTTTTGGCGGTAACGAGACGCGAACCACGGTAACCGACACGCTAGCCAAGGGCCACGCCCTGCTCTCACCGATTGAAGCCGGTTAATCATAAAGGATGTAATTATTTGAAACCGTTCTAACTTGGCGACATAAGGTACATCCGTGAATATACAGAGTCTGCCGAAATTTAAAATTTTTGCTTGTTTGCTTTTGAAGTTCACGCAAAGTCTTCTCTAATTTAGCAGTGATACACTAAAGAAAAGGCAGATAGTCAACACAACCCATCGCCAACTCTTCGGCTACTCTTTTACGAACGAATAGTAGGATTGAACGTATCCATTATAACGCCACCAAAGCTGAGAGGGCGAGCATATTCAGTTAGGGAAATTCGAACCCGCAGATTGCGAATCAAGCGCCCTAACCATCAGGCCTACCAATTTTGGAGATAAGGACAAAAACTGCAATCTTTCAAAAAGTTTATCATGTGATGGATAAAAAAAAACAAGTCTGAAATTCACCTTCAAGTATTTGTGTTATAATAGGATTTTTGGTTAAAAAATACTTTGTTTTCCGTTTTTGAAACACAGTAACTCACAAATATATGACTATTCAAGTTTTGGTAAGTTGCTAAAAAAATTAAACACGAATTATTTTCCTTGTATAAATATTTTTAAAAAGGTATAAATAAGAGGTTTTAAAAAATTGTTTATTATTAAGTTATACTTCTACGACACTGTTGACTTGTTTGACTAGAGTTTTTCAACTCTAAATATACTTGATGTGTTTAAATAATTAGTTACACTCGCTTGTACCCTTCATAACTAAACCCAAAGCCTCTTTAAAAAATAAACAATTTTGTGCTTAATTAATAGCCAGTCAATCACCTTTTGCGGTTTTCTTTTACAGAAAGATGGGACATACGATCCTTAAGTACCAAAGAATGTTAAAAATTAATTGAATATAATTATTGATTTTGCTGAAATAGATAATTACAAAAATTCATGTTAGAGGGAGAACTTGCAAACAAAATCACCAAGGTAACACTCGTCAACAAATTTTTCCGAATTTACAAAATTCGACATCAACGATCTATACAAATTAATGTATAAGTTGAAGATGATACAATCAATATTCTTTCATGCAAATTGGAAGCGTAGCAAGTTTATATATATAAATATAAGTGATTTTGTATTATAAATTTAATAAAAGAAACGTATTTATGCCCCATCTTTTTCTTTTTTTTTCAGGATGTTTTGAAATGAAAAATTCAGAATGGCGTGACGACGGTGTTCCTCCTGGTTTGTCTATGTACGAAATTATGGAAGGACAAATAGTATTCCCTGTAAGACAGCTGCTCAGTATAGAAGGTCGCTTCCTGGTTGCTGGAAATAATCCTACAACTTTTCGGGGCTTACCAGCTACCCGATTTAGCTACAGTATTTTTACCATTAACCCAGACACCAATCAGAATATAACGACTGATATTGATGCATTCTGGTCAGGTGAGGTTCTTTGACGTCATTTGTTTGGAAGGAGTACGCTAGTTAATTATATCAACTACACAGCCTGCGATGGTTTTATTGTCTTGAATTTTTTTACATGTTCTACAGTAATTCCTGTACGCTGAATCCGAAAATGATATCGATTTTTTCTCCATCACGTACAGAATTTTCACAAAACGTCATATGTACTTTTACATAAGTGAATAATTTTCATTGAAATCGGGTCACATATTGTTATGCTTAAAATGTTGACAACCACTGGCTATAGATTTTTATATACCAATCGCGACGAGAGTCTTATCGATCGTTCTGGATCCCAAACATAATAATAAAAAATGTTCATTGTGGTAAACGAAATGATAATTTGATCTAAGTAAAAGTTTTTTTTTCTTCCCGATTTGTAAAAAATCCTTACGCGATAGGAACAAATTAGTATTATTTTCGAACTCTGCGTAGCTGAATTATGGAAAATCCGTTATTAAAACCAAAACAACTTTTATGAACTTTAAATTCGCAGGCCTGTGTTATCAGTAGCTGATTCTCTCTTTTATAACGCGCCCACAGCCGAAAATGAGGATTGGGTTTAGTGACATCACGGCTCTAAAAACACATACCCTTCGATCTACAGCCTGGTATGCTAAACAATAGGCCACGCCCGGTCCTTGCTAAATGAAACAACATACCCATAAAATATTTTGATTTCAATTTTAACCAGTTACGAGATCTGAGAATCCAAACAAATGCCCAATAGTTAATTTGGTTTGCAATATATATATATATATATATATTTTTTTTTATTGATGAAACTTGTCATGCTGCCCCCCTACCTTTTTGAGATGTAGTAGATTATTCACACGGTTTCAAATTTCTTTGCCACTTTGCACAATAGAAGGTGAAACTGTGCTCGAGCACCTTGTGATGCATTTCACATCACGAAGCAAAAATATAAAAAATCTTCATGTAGCGGTAAACATTAGTAAATGGACATTCAATAACATTTTAACCAGAAAAAGCGTTTATGCGCCCCTGTGGCTCAGCGGCACGTCTAAGGGCTTATAATGCTAAAAGTCTGGTTTCTATACCTGTGGTGGGCAGATCGTAGATAGCACACCGTGTAGGTTTGCACTTAACAACAAGAAACAAAAATAAATGAACAAACCAGGTGTTGAAATTACATATATTAGAAATATTCATATGATATTTTCTATGCATATGTACAGTTGCTCCTATTGAACAACAAAATAATTAAATTTGTTTGTTTGTTTTTGAATTTCGCGCAAAGCTACACAAGGGCTATCTGCTCTAGCCGTCCCTAATTTAGCAGTGTAAGACTTGAGGGAAGGCAGCTAGTCATCACCACCCACCGCCAACTCTTGGGCTACTCTTTTACCAAAGAATAGTGGGATTGACCGTCACATTATAATGCCCCTACGGCTGAAAGGGCGAACATGTTTGGTGTGACGGGGATCCGAACCCAAATAATTACGTCGAAATATATATACAGTTATTTTTACAAATATACATGACCACTATAAGAAGAGAAAATTGAATGCAACTTTCGGAGTTTGTTATATCATCAATCAAAAATCATCAACCGAGAGAGCTAAAGATATTCAGGGAAAATTAAATAGAATAGCTTTTAGCTTGGACTGAAATATTCTATCTTTGAACGAATAGCTCGACCTATTTGTACTGAGCAAAAAATGTCGAGTGAAGCAAAATTATTTTATTTTCTCAATATTTTGTCCTCAGTAGAACACTATGGTGTACTTACGTGATTGTTCCTATTATATATTTTGTTGTATGAAAAATGTATAAAAAGAGTTATCATTTAATATTTTTCTTCAACTCTTGTGCACAAGTAACTTGATGACCTGGAAAAACCAGTCAGCAAATGCTCAAAGTTAGAATCCATCTATTTTGAGACCACCCCCTTATCACGTTTTCAAAGACTCCCATATAATAATATCACACTTGATGATATTTTCAAAGCTCCCTTGTCACGTTTTCAAATAATCCCATATAATAATATCACATTTGATGATATTTTGAGAGCCCCTAGCCAAGTTTCACAGAATCCCATATAATAATATCACACTTGATTATATTTTGAGAGCTTTATGACACGTTTTAAAGAATCCCATATAATAATATCACTCTTGATGACATTTTGAGAGCTTTCCTCGCTTCTTACGTTTTCAAAGACTACTATATGATTTGTGAAGTTATAAAATAGTTGCATTTGTATCCGTTCATTAACACTGGAAGTGTATATCCCTTATTTTGTGCTGTTAATAATAATAATACATTTATCTTATCAATCAACATGGTATTAAGGACTTAAGCGTGTCACTACAAAAAGGCCTGTACATCATTAAGCTTCTAAACTGGTCCAATATTTACACACTCTTTTCCAAAATCCTGCATTATTCCTGAGCTTTACGTTATTATTTTATATTATAAACAGTGTTCACGTGGAGAACACTCGAGAAATTTGAAAAGCATAACAAGAAAAGTGTATCTTATTTGTGACGAGAGTTTGACAGTTGATTATTTTGAAATTACAAAACAAAACTAATCATTAGTAATATAATTTAGAAATCAGATTGTATCACATAAATATTCATTGATCTTGAGGAACATTCTAGAAATAAAAAAAAATTCAGCCCATGGAATTTAGTAAACTGACAATGTGAATTGAATAATCGTTGTCTTTGGAAAACATTCTAAAAAAATAAGAAAAGAGAAAACTCTGAAAATATATTTAGTTTAACTTTCTTCAATCATTTGAGTTCAAGAAAATTCAGTATCGAATTGAGGAATAATATTAGAATCCGAAGAAATGCTAGTGACAATTGTTCCTTGGATGGATATTTTTTTATTAACTGTTGATATTAGCAGAGCAAATAAATCAAAGACCAACTAAGCCTCACTGGGCTGATTTTTATCTGTATCTGATTCAGAATGCACACAAATCGTGATAATAAAAGTCATTATGTCGATATTAAGAATACGTGTATATATATATATATATATATGTGTGTGTGTATATGGCACTTATTAATTCTAAGTGTTTATTATGCCGGTTCTTAGTGACTTATGTGATGTTATAATTTTCTCTTTTAATACAGAAATATGCGCGTCACACCCTTGTTTGAATGGAGGAACATGTATACTTGTAGAAGATGGCCCACGTGAATACATGTGTAAATGCAATGAGAAGTATGGTGGAGAAAATTGTCAAATAAAAAGTACGTATCATCCAAGTTTGGATAAATCGTTACATTACAAGTTTCATGATAGTAGGTTTTGTCGTTGTTTTGTAAACTATAATGGAGAATTCTAGTCTGGGTCAGTGGCTACTAACAAGAGCTTGGATTAGACACGAATGAGTCATATTAAAACTACAAAAGGTTAATAATTATTGACTCATATGAGAAATGGTTAGGGTTAGCAACCACTGGCTCATATTAAAAGGAGTCCTGTGTTAACAATTATTGACTCATATGAGAAATGGTTAGGGTTAGCAACTACTGGTTCATATTAAAAGTACTCAGGAGTCAGGTGTTAACAATTATTGACTCATATGAGAAATGGTTAGGGTTAGCAACTACTGGCTCATATTAAAAGGAGTCAGGTGTTAACAATTATTGACTCATATGAGAAATGGTTAGGGTTAGCAACCACTGACTCATATTAAAAGTACTCAGGTGTTAACAAGCATTTACTTATATGAGAAGTTGTTATTTGGATGAGTTAGATGCAGCTGTAGCACAATACAACGCTTATGTTACTTTATTGTATTTTTTAATCTTTGGACGCTTCTAAAGAGTTAATGACCTGCTTATGCAAAATTCTGACCCTGCACCTCATATCAATTTTGTGTAACATTCTTTGCTAGGATCGGATTTCGATCACAACTCCAGATGCGTGGAAAGTGGGCATTCATGCCAATATCTGTTTTTGAGGAATGATTTTCGGTTTAAAATGTGTTTTTTTTTTACATTTTCCCGTTAACTTTGGGGTTAGATAATACACACTGATAAAAGTTCTGGAGAACATGACCTTGAATATCCTCAACTCTTCATTCCCTAACACTTAAAATTCATGTCCTACACCTTTCAATTTTTGAATGATTTGCATGTCAGTGGATTTTTTATTCACCCTGTAAATTCATAGATAGATAAATATTGCTAAGAATGTGATTTTCTTAGACATCTAGAAAATTATAATTAATATATTTTTATACACTGGAAATATAAACTTAACCCAATTAAAACATTTCAGAGCCACCTATGGTCAGTGACAGGTTTCATACAGTTGGAGAATTGGTGTTTCCTCTTGTGCCTGATAGAGAAATATCTGAGGCTGAAATTGTTTGCGCCATCGAAGAAAGTTATGATCCTCACGTAGGAATGTCTGTGTTTCACATTACCATAGCTGGAGAACAAGATACCATTGTCGAGAACTTATTCCTAAATCAAACCTTTATGCATAATTCAAGTGGTAGGTTTATCTGCTATCAACATACTTACCAATACCTGCATATGTCAGGAAAGAGATTCGCAATGATGAGGAATTTACTTAAAGTTAATATATAGTAGAGACAGCCGATATGGGTATTAGCAACTTTCACAAAACAAGTAAGAACGTTTCGGCCTCCTTAGATCATCATCACGTGCCGTGGGGATGACAGAAATAATGTATAGGATTGTAGAGGGCGTTGTATATATTTAATTTTAACTGTGTAATAACACGTGTGAAACATTTAATTAAATAACTAATATAGGTATAGAAGTGTTCCTTAATGCTGGTTCAATGTAGGCTTAAGTTCTTGTATTAGAAGAACTTCTTTAATTTTTCGTTTGGTTAAATTGTGTTTATTTGGGATACAATGTTCAAACAAGTCAAAAAATGGAAACTAAATTCAATGAACACAAAACAACACCCTCCAATGTTTTTAAACATTATATCTCAAATAAACACAATATAACCATAGAAGATATATTAAGTATAGAAGCAAATGTAAGCAAACGAAAAATTAAAGTTCTTCTAATACAAACTTAAGCCTACACTGAACCAGCACCAAGGAACACTTTTATACCTATATTAATTATTTCCTTAAATGTGTTCACATATGTTATTACACAGTTAACTCAGTTAACTACCATATATAATAGAATTAAATATATATATACATATGTATATATATATACCCTATAATCTTATAAGCATAATTACTGTCATTCCCACGACACGTGATTAATAACGGTCTCTCTCCCTTTTTTTTTCAAAAGTAATTCTTAATCTGATGATGGCTTAAGGAGATCGAAACGTTCTAACTTGTTTTGTGTTTTAAATAAAAGTTTCTAATACCCATATCATGTTGATAAGCTTGTAAACACATTTGTTTGTTCATGTTTTTGTTTTTTATTTAAACGCCTTCTATTTTGTTCATTTTGTACATGTATAAATTTTAAAAAAATTTACAGCATAAGATATTCAAGTGTTTCAAAAGTGATGAGTTTTAGGTTTATTATGACTGAATGCTTATTGGCCTAAAATACGTGACTATAGAACTGATAAGGGATGAAAATATGCATATTGCCCGAGAATTGCCAACAACTATTTATTCTGAAGAACAATTCGCAAGTTTCTTCTTATTTTAAATCCATAATCGATAATCTATAATTATTACTTTAATTAAAATGAGATTCGTCTTGATTATTTCGTTGGATCTCACCCTTCTTTAATAATTGGTAACTGAGCTTGCTATAAGTTTGACTCATATTGGAGTAATTCTGTCTTGATTATTTCGTTGGATCTCACCCTTCTTTAATAATTGGTAACTGAGCTTGCTATAAGTTTGACTCCTATTGGAGTAATTCTGTCTTGATTATTTCGTTGGATCTCACCCTTCTTTAATAATTGGTAACTGAGCTTGCTATAAGTTTGACTCCTATTGGAGTAATTCTGTCTTGATTATTTCGTTGGATCTCACCCTTCTTTAATAATTGGTAACTGAGCTTGCTATAAGTTTGACTCCTATTGGAGTAATTTTGTCTTGATTATTTCGTTGGATCTCACCCTTCTTTAATAATTGGTAACTGAGCTTGCTATAAGTTTGACTCCTATTGGAGTAATT